TAAAAACAAAGAAAAGGAAAAACAAATAAAACAAGTAGATATAAAAGAATAGACTAAGAAAGAAATGAAATACATTAGTTGTTGCATCAGACATTAATGCGCTGAATTCCCCTTTTACAAAATAAAACAAACATTGGAAAGACTAAACACAAGGAGACCCAACTAAGAGACTGCATACAGAAGTCACAGCTGCTCTGAATGAAGTTAGAGGATTTGTATGAAATGATTGTAAGTGAGGACTGGTAAATATAAAACTTCTAAACAGTAAAGCAGGAGTTTGCAGAATGAAAAGAAGAGGGACACTACGGATACGTTGTAGTATGCTGAGGTATCATATTTTTTTCTCACTTCTGGCGGAATATCTGGAAATCTACTGGTATGGAGGATGGATTCCAAGGCATCTTCTCTGGTGTAGTGCAGTGGGAAGGACGGTGGTACTGAGAGCTGGGTTCATGGCAAGTGTCCAGAACCGTTTTAAACTATTATTGGTGTAGTCTAGTGCAGGTTTGGCTTAAGTAAGCACAGCACGTGAGACATTGTCTAGCAACTGAATGAAGCAAATCATTGAGTTGGGTTGATCAACTAAGAGGTCCCAGATGTGAGATGGAGGTATTTCTGAAGTATCTGTTAAGACAGAAAGATATATTGTTTAAGAATTGAAAGTTTAGGCCAATTTGTGCAGCTATTGGAAAAGCTGAAAGACACCTTCTTCTCTGAGTACTTGAGGATCAGCTGGTAGGTGTGTCACCGTGGCACTCCCCAAAGCGGGTACCGATATGCTGTTCCTGAGCTCATAGAAGGAAACTGACTCCTGGGAGAAAAGTTTATAGTGATACTGGAAAGTGAATTGCCCAGTATCAGAATGAATTATCTTTCTCCACTAGGAATTTTGAAAATAATGCATTCCTGTTTTTCATGTCTCTGTGAAAAAATGAAAATATGATGAACAGAACCAATTGTAGAACAATCTACAAATTATAATGCTTGGATCAGGGTATCTTTGAAGAATCTCATGGAATTGTACACCGATGAGAAGTTCTCCTGGCTCCACAAATGTCCGTAGACCTCTGTTTCCTCTGCAGCAGTCTTTGCCTGCCGCATATACTGTGAGGGCCGGAACCTTGTATGATGTGGTAGTCACCACGCCGATCTATCACCTAAACATCTAGCACATGTGTGCAGAAGCCATCTCATGGAAGGACTAAACACGCAATATAGAGAAAACAGAACCATGGGGAGATAAGCAGACCAAGTTTTCTTCAGAAATGTATATCATCTAGCTTCCTTTAAGTCAAACATTAATTCTTTACCAATTTACAAACAACTAATTTTAGGCTTAAATGTCTTAATGAAATTTCTGCTGTAACCATGCTAAATTACTGGATTTAGAGTCAGTGTTGCAAGAGAAAGTCTGAAGAGAACAGAAGCTAATCACCAGAGAAGCATAACACACAACAGGTCACAAAAATGGGTATCGTGCTGATTTTCTACCTTGTCCTTCTGTAAAGGGTACAAGAAGACTGGCACTATATCGTGAAGGTTGATACCACCTGGAAGTCAGGCCTACTTTCTTCTCAAGAATGTGCAGATTCGGAGGAGTTATTCTGAGATGATGATCCGTATATTTTCTTCCTGGAATGTTCCTGTTCCCCTCTGTCTTCTGCTCAAGCAAATAGTGAGTTCACCGAGACAATCAAGAGAATTATCCAGAATTGAGATGAGAGGAAAAGAAAGAACTGGGACACATCTGTAAGCTGTGACGTAGAGGGAGCTTAACTGACAAATTTCAAGAGAAACGTCTACACTGGGGCGCGGTAACTCGCACAGCGCTTTCATATCCTGTGTGTTCCACAGGTGGGAGCTCAGCCTGGAAATGGAAAGATGGAAATTTCCACTCTTGCTAAGAGCAACCCATGAAAAGAGAGCCATCAACCTGCTGTTTTCTCCAGCCTACTAGGACTTTAATTCCAAAATCCAGTTGTCACAGTTAGATAAAGTCACACTGCTAGTACACTTGGTTTGTATTCTGATTCATATTCAATATGTGGGAGGATTTAGCAATGTGACAAAGGAGCATCGCTGGGAAAATGCTGCCTCTAAAACTGTCTGGCTTGTTCACATAAATTGCCTGTGCTGTATGCCATCACAATGTATGAGGTTTTTGATTTTTAATTTTTATAAGTGCATGTTTGTAATAAATAATTATATTCATTGAGGAAACATGAATACGTAATATAATGCATCTTAATTCTTTTTCTTTCCTCCTTTAATTCACCCCCTTTTGTCTTCCCAGCATCAGATTCATTTATTTATCTTATAAGCCACTCTAAAGTTAATTATCACATATACAGGTCAATAAACAGATAATAGAGCCAAAACACATAATTCACATAAGACAATTATACTAAATCATAGTACACTTTTAGATACATCATTCACACTGGATAACAGCATTTTTTTTCTTTGTCTCTTTCCTCTGTTATCTTTTAGCTCTCTATTGTCTGTCTTTTCCACTTTATATATCGAGTTTTTCATACAAGAGAAAGCATGCTGTATTTAAGGTTGTGCGTCTCATTTACAAATGCCTCAAGTTTATGACTTTTTAAAAAGCAGGAATGATGGTATCTGTATGAGCTGACAAGTGAGAAGAGAAGAAAAAGAGGAAGAAGAAGGATGAAGAATAGAAGGAGAGAAGTGTAGGAGAAGAAGAAAAATAGGAGAAACTTTCAAGCTTCCATAAATTACTGTTAATTTGGAAACTGGTACGCACTTATGTCTAAAGAAGTATTATGTTGTAAATGAAGCCAATGTTCCAGTGCATAAAAGGTGCCACAAGTATAGTGCAGATTGATAAAATAGCCCAAAATAATAAACAAAATAAAAAATAAAAAACCATGGCCTTCATTGCATTTGTTAGAAAACAGGACAACATCTTAGTGTCTCTGGATGGTTATGATCATGCCTCAGAAAACCTACTGATCACCTGACTCATGCATTTGCACGCACCTTTGTTTAATTTGTGATCCGTGAATGTGTGGAAGCAATTCATAAACAGCAGAGTTATCAGCTTATCTACAATATCATGAGATATTTTCTTTGAATATTTCTTTCCATTTCTGAACCTTCAATAAACGTGGTATATTTCTGGCAAATTGTTATATTGGAAATGCAGGCCGGGCGTGGTGCCACACTCCTGTTATCCCAGCGCTGGGGAGGCTGCGGCAGAAGGAATCTTTCAAGGAAGAGGCCAGCCTCCTCCAGGTAGTGAGTTCAAGGCCAGTCTGAACTGCAGAGCAAGACACTGTCTTGGGGAAAAAAAAATCAACAAATGAAGAAAGAATTGCAACGAGTGAACAAATGAGCATCTGGAGCTGGATGTTGATTTTTTTAGAATCCAAAGCTCATATGTATTTTTTGTGAACACTTTTCCATTTGCAAAACACTAAAGAAAGAATGCTCATTTTCCTTCACCTCTATTGCTGTTTATATATTATGCACCCATCAACTTTCTTACACTTTACATTTCTAAAATAAAATTAATGTTTATCTCCTTCTAGATGTTATTGAATGTACTATATTTAATATTCTCCCCCCAAACAGTCTCAATTTTTTATGGTGTCAAAAATAAACCTCTCTAGCCAGGTGTGGTGGCGCACACCTGTAATCCCAGCACTTGGGAGGCTGAGGCAGGAGGAATGCTGTGAGGTTGAGGCCAGCCTGGGCTACATAGTGAGTTCAAGGTCAGTCTCAACTACACAGTGACATCCTGTCTCAAAAAACCCCCCAAAATAAAAAATAAAGTAAACCTCTCTATATTTCTACAATATTTTGTAATTCATTGTGACAAGCAAGAGTACCGTTTTCTAAATTTGGTTTATAAATATATGGTATTTAATGCAAATGAGCTCACAAATTTTTGCATCCATTTCAAATGCTTAATCCATTTTAATAAAAATCACCATTCAATTTGAATACTCGTCTTAAGCTATAATACAGAAAAAATTATTACCCATGTTCTTTTATTCCCCATCATTTGGTGTCGGCTAAAATTCAATAACCATAAATCTTCCTTAATGAGGCATAATCTGGTGCTTCAAAATATGACAGTATGTGTACACATTAAATTTTTTGATATGATGATTAGCAGCTGCATATGATGGTGCTCACAAGTGAATCCTTTGTTTGTTGTTGTTTTAGAATCAGTATGATAATGTCCAAAGCAGTTTCATGTCAACAAGCAACTGGAAAAATCAGATATTCATTAACTAGGAATGTTTCAAAACACATAGTACATTAAATGCACAAAGACCCGTGAATGCTCCACAGGGGCGAATATGAGAAAACCGTCCATCCAGGAAAGTGAGAATCTTGTACCAGTCCTGTCAGTGAATACTATAAATTCCATTTCTATGACATCTCAAAGTGAGACAGGTTATTGGTTGCAAGAGGGAACATGAAAAATTTTTGTGTGAATAATTATTGTTCATTTTTTGAAATTCTTGTAAAATGCATATGTACATTTATGAAAACTCATCAAACTGCATTTTAAGCAATTTTTTCCTGTATCTTATTTTGTATTAAATCTCACTGTCAAATAAATTTATTTATGGAATCCAGATATTACACCCAATTCCATCACTCAGAAGGAAAATGCACTTGCATTCTCAGAGCTTTAGATTCATCTTATGTAATACTTAGACAATAGCTCCTATATAATAATGGAAGATATATGTATATATATATATACACTATTATTTATATAGTGTTATTGTTATGCATATTTGAGGAAAAATTATTGAGGATTGAAGTTCTCACTGTGTGTATACGTATAATGTAAGACAGTATGGAATAAATTCTAAAATATGTAAATGTTACAGTCATTTTTATTATAACCTAAATGATATAGCCGACTGCTTCACTAGTACATAAATTAGGGATCCTTTTAACTTTCCAAAAGTAAACAAAAGTGAGTAAATAGAGCACCATTTGTTTTGTGACAGGAATCCCGTCTGTTGCGACAGGCTTGGTGTCCTCAGAGATGTTGTGGTTCCTGCTCCTCCATCTTCCTTGGAGTTTTGACTTCTGTCTTCCCGTTGTCACCTCAACTTTGCAAGGCACCTTTTCTCAAAACCCAGCCATCACGTGCAGCTTCCAAGCAAGAACAGGAGGATGATGCGGGGAAAAATAGCTCTTTCACCATGACAGGATCCTCATGCGAATGAGGCAAAGGGTCAGCACACTGGCCGGCTGCCCCTCCAGGCTGCGGAATCCTGTGGTCAACACCGAGTGCCATCCGGCCAGGGCTGGGGACCCAGGCAGCTCCGGCAGACAAACAAGAACAGATGACTACGAAGACCGGATAGAGCGCAGAGGAAAGGCAGAGACGTCGGAGAACCTCGGAGAGCCGTTTGGGGTATTTGGTAAAGCATCCTGGCTTAGTGCAGGTTTGTTCAAAACAGCAGTGTTTTAGGACTCTAAAGTGATGCATTATGACAACTTTTCATCTTCCATTCTAGGCTGTTAACTGAAGTATGTATGAAGATAACAACAATTACTTTAAAGGACTTTGAAGAAATGCATCGATTTTTAAAAAGTGTAATGTAAGAGAAAACCAAGGAGCTAAAGGTGTAGGGAAGGTGTGATACGTAGGGGAAGAACAAAAAGGGAAAAGAAAAAAATGTGAGAGAATGAAAAGATGAAAATAAAGTGTTTGTAGATGGGGAGGGGAGGAGGGGGTGAAGGGAGGGCAGAGGTAAGGGGAAAAAAATGAGAATCAAGACTTGCCATGTAAAGGTACATGATCCCAACAATGAATGTAACTGTACTGTATCCCTAAATGTACCAATAAAATCAATAAAAAAAAAAAGAAAAAAGAAAAAGAAAGAGAAAACCAATATGCGACGGTCACCAAGTGGGCGGAGTGACGGAGCGGGCCCTGCCAGGAGTCGAGTTGCCAATGAGCCAGCTGCTGCTCTTCCGAAGCCTGAAGTGAAGCCAAGCGTTCTGGGGTCTCCTTGGGAGACAGGCAGCCTTGTTCCTCTGGGAGAGCAACTCTCACGAGGGAGGACTTTGTGTCCAAAGATTTAACATTCAGTCACTAATTAACATCGGGTAGTCTTGCTGAGCCTCTTGGCGTTGCAAGGCAGTCTCCTCCTCCTCCTCGGATCCTCCACTGGGAATGAATTGTCCTCTCAGACCCCTTCCGCTCCCGTTTCCTTTCCGGGCACTGCTCCTAGGAAAGCTATTGTACACTGCTCACCCTGTTTTCCTGCCTACTTCTCTGAGGAACCAAACTGGCACCGATCTCAATAATTTTCCAGTTATATAAACACAAATATACTTTAAAGGATCAATAAACGCATAGTTGTCCAAACTACAGATAAAGAGAAAAGGAATAAAGTCGACAAGGTCTGTCATGAAAAGTGAGTAACTATAGCTACTAAGGAGTTAAAAGTAAGATGACAATTTTATAATAACAAATCTGAAATTCACATATTCAATTTCTAAATCATTTTTATTCATTTGCTTGTGATTTATTCATTTGTGATTTTGTGTGTGTGTGTGTGTGTGTGTGTGTGTGTGTGAAGTCATCCTAAGCCTATTTTGGGCAAAATCAATTCTAAGCATAGGGTTGGCACCAGTAAGCAAAATATACAAGAAGCACAAACATTTCTAGCTTCCTGGATGTTAGGTTCTAGTGTGCGAAACAGGCAATAAACTCAGTGAATATATAGAAAGTTTTGATAGGAAAGAGCCAAGTGCAAAGTAATAAAACAAATCAAAGAAGGAATAGTTTATACTGCTGATTGGGTAGGAGATTAAAAGATGTGGAAGATTAAAAAACATGTCCTGGAAGGAATCATGGACAAGGTGACATTTAAGTAATGACCTCAAGGAAAAAGGGAGTGGGCTTCGTACATGTATTAATTTTTCAGGGAAAATACATTCAAGGCAGAGATAACTGCAAAGTACCAGAAGCCTGGGGCACAGCATATCCTATATGTTTGGGAAAAAGCAAATAAGTTAGTGTCTTTGCCTGAGAAAACTAGGCTTCCGTCCATCCCTCCCTCTCTCCCTCCCTCCCTTCTTCTCTTCCTTCCTTCCTTTTGTACATTCTCACAAAGAAAGGAAGATAGGAGAATGACAGAAGAGAGTAGTACATAGTAATTGTGTTCCAAGGATTGGAATTGGTTTTGTTAAGTGAGGATTTCCAGTATTTAACACACGCTTTGTTTAACGAATGTATAAAGTCTTCCTGCAATAGTTTTGGGGAAATAGTACATCTTCCTAGTTTTTCTTATATATTACTGTCTCAATCTAGAGCAACTAGTTAAAAATCTTAAGCTTTTGTTAAAACAATGAAGCAAATAAGTGATTTTAAAAAAGCTGTAGGTGCGGCTGAGGGCGTAGCTCAGTGCTTAGCATGCTCAAACTTGTGGATTTGGTCCCTAGCACTGTGTCATTATTTTTTTCAAAAAATATGTAAAGAATAATAATAACAATAAGCAAAACATGGTCCTGTTTTTGTGGCTCAACAACATATGTTCGTGTAGACTCTCCATCATGTCCTCTGTTTACCTCTAGTGAGAAGGTACCGGTCAGACCTCTGTGATCTCACTGATGGCCCAAACTTCCCTGTCATTCTCAGTGCCAGTTTGGGGACAGTGCAATCTGAGTTGCTCTCTTTTTAATTTCTATAGCTGAATTTTCCTCCTGAAAATCTTCCCTTCCAAATTATCTCTAATATTAAATGCTAGGCATCCATACCCTTTCTTTGCTAATTTTAAAATCAATGTGACTTGTTCCTTCCTCCTTTTGTGGCATTTCTGATAATCAAAAGGGTATGGTATTAATTGTTGACTATTTTAAAGAAGTCATCGCAGCAACCAGAGGCCAGATAAAATGTGTTTGTAGAAGTCTAGAACAACTCCAGCACTAAAAGCCGTACAGTTTAGAAAAGACCATAATACATGTGCTATTCGTATATGGCAGCTATAGTTAGAAAATAAGCTGAACAGTCGTGGAATTATTTTTCTCTCTAAGCTAAGGAGCAAACACATGACATATCAGACTAGGTGGGTGGAGATATATTTTTCCCCTGCCCCAAGCAGGGTTTGGCAATGTCCGCACACATCTGAGGAAGGTTGGGCAATGCCATGGGCACCAGCAGAGCAGAGGCTCAGAGAGGACACTAAGTAGCCCAGAGCACAGTGATCAGAAACAAAAAAGAATTATCCAGGCTCAAATGTGCAGTTTGTGAATTATCCTGGCATTTTATATAAGGAAAGTCAGCATACAGAGTTACAATAATTACTATAAACTCAGACTTTAACCAGATTGAATGACAGAAAAAAAAGAAAAGAAAAGAAGAGAGAGAGAGAGAGAGAGAGAGAGAGAAGAGAAAATGCATCCATCAGAAAGAATGTGGATGATTTGATGATTCTCAGGTCCATGCAACTGGGAAATCCTCAAACGCCAGCACTGGCAATGACAGAACATACTCAAAGTAACTCACCTCAGACACTGGCTACCTCTCACTGCCAAGGCCACTGCTTTAGGGGAAAAGTCAGCAGACTCCTCTCAGAAATGTCCAGTTTGTGTACAGACTTCCACTGTTCTGCCCTCCTTGCCCACAGCTTATTTTCACATGAGCCATTAGCTAACCTGGGAGGGTTGGTTACCAAAAGTCAAAACTGTGTGTCACACATACTCTGGGATTCCGGTTCCAGTTTAACTTAGCAATTTAATGATACGATTTTTACTTTGTATTGCATTCTGTTTTCACATATATTTTGCCATTTTATTAGAAGTATTAGGGAAACATTTTGTTTGTTTTAAAAAATGTTGTTCTAGTAATCCACATATGAATTTTGCAAAGGACGGAGTCCATTCTTTGAAAACAGCATGATTTTTAGAAAAGCTGATACAGTTGTGCTTTTGTGACTTTACTGTTAACATCAAACTCTGAAATATACAAAGTACACCCAGATATACATTTCAAAATTTCATCATTTTGAGAGGCAGTTAATTGTTTTTTAATTTGACAATTTCTAAATCTTTCTTTCTTTTCTTTTCCCCCCTGGTACCAGGGATCAAACAAGTCCTTGGGCTTGCAAGGCAGGTGGCAGAACCACTGAGCTAAATCCCCGACCCTCTAAATATCTTAATTGGTAATTTTTCCTCAAATTTCCACTAGGTCTTTTAAAAATCTATGATATCGGGTCAGGGATTTAGCTCAGGGACACCACACCTGTCTAGAAGTTCCATCTCTGTTCCATCTCTGTTACAAAAAAAAAAAAAGAAAAACTATGATATTGATATGTCTCTGTGTGTGTGTGCATGTGTGCTTATGTGTTTATGTAGAGCATCATTTGTGCTCTCTGCTTGTTTCAGAAAAAAATAAAGTTTTAGTGATTTTAAAATGCAAAAATATTAATGTACAGATTTTCTGTTCTGAAAAATGTCTTCCCTTATAGAAGGCATATAAGACCCCTTGATATTAATTAAGTTGCTAAATATCTCTGAAGCAGTTTGTAACAACTGGTAATAATTTCACAGGTAAATAATTATGTGAAGCTTTTTCTCAATCTAGTATCTACCATGGACTTACTCATTTTGGAAAAATAAAATTCAAATGAAGGTGGCTTATATAAGCATTATTTCTTCTTACTAAACAATATTTCCTTAATCTTATCCTCGGCTAGGAAAAAATATATCTACTTAATTTTATTAGTAAATGACTTTGTGGTATCTCACCACATCAAAAATATCTAATGAAGACAATACTTTACAAATTTCAAAGTAATTTTGAGTGTTCACCAAGTGTTTGTTAATACGATGTAATGTAAGAAGCACTTTGTAAGAGTTTTACAGAGGCAGCTGAAATCAACAAGAATTATTTTGCCTATTATATGGGCACCATAAAAAGAAACATCTTCAAATATTTAGTAGCTAACAGAAGTGATTTCCTTGTTGTTTTTTTTTTTTTTAATTTCTAAAACTGTTGGAAGTTGAGCCAACCACAAAACAGCAATAGTTTCTCTCGTGGTATTTAGATAAATGATGCCAATGCACATGTAAAGGTCATGTTCAGTGTGTGAAACCAAGGCTTTCTTACATTCTCTCACAGATTAAAATTGCATAGAGCTCTACTGTGTAAACGTACGATTTTAAGGAGCACGCTATAATATGCTTTGTTTGTTTTTGTTTCCAATATTAGTTGGATAAGGAAAAATAATGTGTGCATAGTAACTTCTTGTAGATGAGTTTCTATAGATCTTGTTAAAGGAGGAAATGGTGTAGCAATAGAACACACAAGTAGCTGAATTCCAGCAGAGTAGCTACATCTTCCAATGGGAACTTCAGTGGTGGTCATGGGTGATAGTGAATAGGTCAATTCAAGGGTAGACCTTTTGGGTGAAATGGAAGCACTTCCTTAGATCAGTGGCCTCAGACAGCAGCCCTTCATGTCTTGGTTACTCCACACTGAGAAGTTGGAAGCAGTGCTCTCCATACCACCAAAACCCACCACGGACAGAGCAGACCAGTTGAGAGCAGACCAGTTGAAGAGCCCCACAGCCAACACATACTCAGAAACCATGTCAGGCCACTCTTCTACGCCCCTGTCTTTCCCACTGCCTCTTGCT